ATGGCAGTTTGGCGGCCACAACGCGGAGCATCTGTCATGTTGTTTTTGACTTATCCCCCATAGCAAGTCATTCAGGAAGTGATGCTGATGCATCAAAGGGCGAGGAGACAGGAGCAGTGGCAAGTAGGTCAAACTGGGGAAAGTTCTACTGCTATTCTTGCAGCTTGTGTTGGTGAGAATCCTGGGCTGCTGAAGAAAGGCCTAGGACTCACCAATGCACAAGATGCAGACTCAGTCACCTCCAGGCACTCTGATTGTGGTCTGAGTCAGGTGGCTGGAAAGACAAGGAGCCTGGTGATGTAGGTGCTTGCACTTCTGCTTAAAAGCTGGGCAACTTTCATAAAGCCACAAAGCCTTTCTGAGTCCCAGTCACTTCATCCATAGAATGGAAACAATAACCATAAAGTTTGCTCTATCTAATTAGTGACCAGCAAATCATATAATATGAGTGGAATGTCTTGTAACATTAAGGCACCATACATGTTAGTTGTTTCTGAAGTTGATAATGACGATGATTCTCATGCTCTTCATTTTCTTCATCATCATCCTTGTAACTGGTACATGCCATTTAGGACTTCCTAGGCCACCACTATGATGGCCCGGGGGTTCCAGGACCATACTGAAGAATGCATAAAGAGCCATTATTAAGGGCTAATTCAAGTAAAGCCCAGAAAGATAGTTTTACATACCACTCCACTTGATGGACTTTATTAGTAAGACTTTAGGTTTTAAAAAAGAATCTCTGGGGGTGCCTGGGTGGCTCAGTCGTTAAGTGTCTGCCTTCAGCTCAGGTCATGATCCCAGGGTCCTGGAATTGAGCCCTGCATCGGGCTCCCTGCTCAGCGGGAAGCCTGCTTCTCCCTCTCCCACTCCCCCTGCTTGTGTTCCCTCTCTCACTGTCTCTCTCTCTGTCAAATAAATAAATAAAATCTTTTTAAAAAGTAAAATAAAATAAAAAATAAAAAAGAATCTCCGTATCAAGCTACCCCAATATTTATTCTTCTAGGTGCTGTAAGATAATGTAAGTACTATAATAAAATGTAGGTGCTTGGTAAGTAGTTGGAAGGATGAAAGATAAAGAAAGAGAATGGGCAGAAAGTATTGCTTGGGGGTTGTGGCAGAATCTGCCAGTTATTTCCCAATGTTTGTTCTCTCCTTTATTCTTAGTAAGAGAATGCCTAATTTTTAGCAGGGGATATGGTCACCCAGGATAAAAACTACATTGTCCAGTTCTCTGCTAGCTAACTTTGGTTATATGACTAAATTCAGGTCAATGGGATGAAAGTGCAAGAGCTGTATATGAATGTTGTGTCTTTAAGAAGAGGGCATTTTGCTTTCTTCATCTCTTCCTTGCTTCTTGCAGGCTGGAATGCTATGAGAGCTGCATCTCAGACACACATTTTGGATCAAGAAGAGGAAGCCAAGTACTGAAAATGGTGGAGCTGGAAGACTGAAAATGTATGTATCCCTCACTACCTTGTTCAACCAATGGAACTGCTGACTCCAGACTTTTTCACATGAGCAAGAAATAAACTTCTTTCTTCTTTAGGCCACTCTTATTTTTGAAAACTGTCACTTGCCATTGAACTGAAATCTAAGTAGGTTAGGAATCATCTGCAGAGAGGAGGTGATGGAGGGAGAGGTGAGTTATTCAGGAAGAGCAAGGCTAAAATCCAACGCTGCTTCATGAACAGTCATAGGGAGGCACTATCGAAAGAAACTAAATAGAACAAGTGACAAGAGAGGCACCAGTAGTGGACAATATCATGGAATCCAAGAGAAGAAAGGGTCTCAAGAAGGGGGTTGTCATGGATGTTTAGTGATTCAGAGGGTTCAAGTGGAATAAAGACTGAAAATGGACTCTAGGTTTGTCCATTAGGAGGTTATTGATGGCCCTTGAGAATATGGTGCAAGTACGATGATTTGAATGGAGGCCAGAGTCTAGAGGATTGAGAATAGAATAAGTGCTAAGTAAGTGGAAAATCTTGATAGTGAAAGAAAGGGGATGAAATAGAATGGTAGCTAGAGAGGCCAGTAAAACTAATTTACTTGATTTTGTCTTAAAACAGAAGAGATTTCCTGCATATTTATGGACAATTAATTTATGAGAGAGAAACCAAGGACATCTAAGGGGGAAAGGACGGTCTCTTCAATAAATGGTGCTGGGAAAACTGGACAGCCACATGCAAAAGAATAAAACTAGACTGTTATTTTATACTGTAAACAAAGATGAACTCAAAATGGATTGAAGACTTGAATGTAAGACCTGAAACCATAAAACTCCTAGAAGAAAACATAGGCAGCAAGTTCCATCAATCTGAGTGATGCATTTGTAGATCTAACACTAAAAACAAAGGAAACAAAAGGAAAAATAAACAACTGGGACAACATCAAATTAAAAATCTTCTGCACAGTGAAGGAAACCATCATCAAAACAAAAAGGGAACCCACTGAACAGGAGAAGATATTTACAAATCATATATCCGATAAGGAGTTAATATCCAGTATATACAAAGAACTCATACAACTCAACAATGAAAAAACTAATGACCTGACTAAAAAATGGTCAGAGGATCTGAATAGACACTTTTCCAAAGAAGACATATAGATGGCCATAAACACATGAAAAGATGTTCAACATCACTAATCATCAGGGGAAAGCACATCAAAACCACAATAAGATATCATCTTATACCTGTTAGAACGACTATTATCAAAAAGACAAAAAATACCATGTACTGAAGAAATAAAGAGAAAGGGAACCCTCATACACTGCTGGTGGGAATGTAAATTGGTGCAGTCACTATGGAAAACAGTATGGAGATTCTTCAAAAAATTAAGAATAGAACTACCCTATGATCCAGCTATTCCACTTGTGGGTACTTAGCTGAAGAATATGAAAACACTAATTCAAAAAGATATATACACCCCTATGTTCATTGCAGCATTATTTACAATAGCCAAGATAGGGAAATAATCTAATTGTTCATCAATGGATGAATGGATAAGGCAGATGTGGTACACACACACACATACACACACACACTGGAATATATATATAATATATTACATATAATGGAATATATATATAATGGAATACTATTCATCCATAAAGAAGAATTACATCTTGCCATTTGCAGCAGATGGACCTTGAGGGTATTATGCTGAGTGAAATAAGTCAGAGAAAGACAAATACCATATGATTTCACTCAAATGCAGAATCCAAAAAAAAAAAAAATACTACAAAAACAAACTCATAAGTACAGAGAACAGATTGATGGTTACCAGGACAGGTTGGAGGGTGGGTGGGCAAAATGGGTGAAGGTCAACCATATGGTGATTGACCATAACTAGACTTTTGGTGGTGATCATTTTGTAGAGTATACAGATGTCAAATTATAGTGTTGTACACCTGAAACTTACATACTGTTATATACCAATTTTACCTGAGAGAGAGAGAGACAGAAGAGGTTAGTTGGGGTAGGTGGTAGGGAAGAAGACCATGTAGAAATTTCCCTGATCAGCCCTGCTCTAGGTTAGGTGCTCCTACTCATGGGCTCTCTGGAGCTCTGTTTTTCCTTCATGGTACTTGCTATGTTATGTGGTAGTCATGAACCTGTGTGTCTGTTTCTGAGCACTGTGAATGACTTGAGTCCAGGAACAGTAACTTAAAATCCCCAGACCCAGGACAGTACAGGGACACAGACCACTAATGTTTGTCATGGAACAAAGGATGGAGGCAGGAAGTGGAAGGCATAGATTTTCAATCAGAAGAGAGTCATGCCTCATCTGAAGTGGAAGGGGAAAAGAGATGATGAGTGAAAGGACAGAGTATTTTGAGGTATTGTTGGGGATGGGGATAGAAGAAAGCCTGCTTGGTGAGGTGAGGGAACACAGGTTTGAGTCAGGTGGCCTGTGCTCAAGTTCAACCCCTGATATTTACTGAGGTCCTTATCTTACTTTACTACAAGATGGGATGTAATAATACCCATCTCATAGAATTGTTTGAGGACAACTAGAGGTGCTTAACACACAGTGGACATTCTGGAGTAGAGAGGATAAAATAGAAGATAGTCATGCTTGAGGACCGGCATCTCTTTAGTAATGTAGAAGGTGAGGCTCTCTGCTAAGGGTGAAGAGGTGAGGGTGGGACTAGGTAGGAAGTGTAAAGATGAGGAGCACAGGTGTTGAATCCAGGTATATTTGAACCTAGCTATGCTATTTTGAGAAAATTACTGAAATTCTCTGATCCTCAGGTTCTTCACCTCTCAAATGTGGATAATTATTAAATACATTTATGAGGCTGTGCAGTTAGCACAATGCCTGACACATATAAATGATAAATATAAAAATTTTGAGGAAATGCTACTATAAGGAACATTCTAGAGGGTCAACAAGACATTGATTAAGGGGATGAAGGGGTTGTTGAGCAACCTTGGGAGGCCAGTGAGGAAGAGGTGACCCACTCTTTTTATTTTTTAAAGATTTTATTTATTTATTTGACAGAGAGAGACACAGTGAGAGAGGGAACACAAGCAGGGGGCAGTGGGAGAGGGAGAAGCAGGCCTCCCACTAAGCAGGGAGCCCGATGAGGGGCTTAACCCCAGGACCCTGGGACCATGACCTGAGCTGAAGGCAAATGCTTAATGACTGAGCCACCCAGGTGCCCCGAAGCGACCCACTCTTACAACATGTCCCAGTGACTGTGATTTCCTGACTTCCACATACCAGACCACAGAAGGGAGGGGTGAGAAAGACAACACTAGAGGAGAAGCAAAGGCAGAAAAGGCTGGAACCCTAGGGTGTGGGCTTGGGTGTTCACTTAGTGAAGAAGAACCTGACTGTGTGAACTTGGGACCTTGGGAAAGTTAGCAACCTCTCTGTGCTCCGTTTTATCAGTTTTAAAATGAAGCTAATAGTGGCACTTACCTCATAGACGTGTTATGAGAGTTAAAGGAGTTAATATTTGTAAATTTCTTAGAACGGTGTCTGGCATATACTAGGCACTTGTACGTGTGTGTTATATAAAACAAAGACCCGTGGTTAGAGAGATGAAAATAATACCCCAGTGAACTCTGACGGGAAAAAGGAAAGTCGGAGCACCGGATTTCCGAGCAGGGAGCTGAAACCGAGAGCAGAGATGAGGAAGAGCATGTTGCTGCTAACAGCCACCTGAACCATTGCCCTCTCCCGACTTCTTTAGGATCCTTCAAGTAAGTGCTTCTTGTGCTTTGAGGGCACTAGCTAACCATCCCCTCCTCTCCTTCCACCCACTGCCTCCTAGATCAATAAGTGAGGGGAATGACCTCCCTAAATACAGCAGGCACAGAAGGGCGGCTGGAGATGACTGCACCCTGCACCCGTCAGGACAGAATGGGTTACAGTGCGTTACGCGGAGTGAAGGCAAGTAACGGACAAAGAGGAAGCAAAGGGTTGAGTAGCCAGTTTTGTGTCATTCTCTGTGAGGGTGGAAAGTCCTTGGTCACAAGGGCTTAAGTAAAGGAACCTACCACCTCCACACAATAGTATACTAATGTCTACTAGATTTTTTTACTTTCTTTTTTTCCCCTAAAGATTTATTTATTTATTGGGGGGAAGGGGCAGAGGGAGAGAGAGAATCCTGAAGCAGATTCCCTGCTGAGTGCAGAGCACAATGTAGGGCTCGATCCCAGGACCCTGAGATCATGACGAGCTGAAATCAACAGTTGATCATTTAACAGACTCAACCACCCAGAAGCCCCAACTTTCTTATCACCTTTTTTGAGATCTGGGTTGACTTGAATCCGTTTCTTCAAAACAAAAACAAATGCACACACAAATTCTCAAAACCGAAATGGGATCCTGGCCAGCCACTATTTCCCTCTATTGGTGTATAATGAAAAATTGAGTATAACAAAGAAAATATGGGTACATAGCGCCACCAACATCCCAACTGATTGCTCATACCTCTTTCTTTTCCAGCTTCCACACAGGTGAGCCTAGTAATCCCAAACTTGCAGGTTCATTCCTCTCTAAGGTTCAAGACAAGAAAGATTTGATTCAGGAAACACATGACTGGCCTATGTCTACCACTGAAACTTGGAGCTCTTGTGAAAGCATGCTGGCTGCTTGGTCAGTCACCATGCTGATCTCCAGGCCTGCTTCAGTGCACCAGGCTGCCAAGGTAGTCTCTACTGCCTCCTACAATCTTGTGTTTGCACACTGATGCTCTTTCCCAGCCTCTATTTGGAAACAGGATTTTTGAGCTGATGTCTTGATATCCAGTTTCCCCCATACATATTTTTCCATTTCTATATCTGGGCTTCTGCTTTTGAGACCTTTCTGAATGTCTGCAGTAATAGTCTGCTCAAACCTCTTTCTAGAACAGAGGCTTTATCTTTATCTCAAAGGCCCTCTCTACAAGGACTTTGGACTAATAGCAAATTGGATCTCACCAGGACCCCTCCAGCCATGAAATCCTGTGTCTAACCCCCAGGACGATGGTCAGGACCTACTTATCTGTGGACAGATATCCAGGTGGGCCCACTCACCTCTTGGACTTCTCAGTATTGACTTCTGGAATCCTTCTACTGTGCTATACATTCAACAGGACATCAAGACCTTGTTGATATTGGACCTTTGTTTATTTTGAAAAAAACTAATTCAAATCCACTCACATCATATTGATATGACTGATACTTGAACCATGTCTGGATATGCTCATTTCCTTGGATATTCTGCTTCAGTGGCCTGCTTAAACTTCTGTGATTGGCAAAGACCTGCCCACCAGTCCCATTCTCTGCCTGAATGATTCTGTCTTTATGGGAATAAATCACCACTCTCCACTGATAAATCCCAAAATGTGATCATGATCAATAATAGGGGCAGTATTTCCATTCCATTTCAGCATCAAGGGCATCAAAGGCAAAGGCAGCCTTGTTCAGTGGTTAAGTTTAACGACATTGGAGTTCAAATCCTATTTCCTCCACTTTTTGGCTAAATGACCTCTAGTTTTCTGTGTTTCATCTGTAAAACTGGGGTATTCATAGTGCTCATCTCATACAATATTGTGAGGATTAAGGTAAATAATAAATATGACTACTTAGAGAAATGCCAAACATGTTATGATTGCTCCATAAATGGTTAGCTATTACTATTATTGCTGGGGGATAGGAAATGGGAGCCAGGCGAATGGTTGAAGAAACTGAAGCAAGAAAAGTGTAGAGAAAAGGAAGAATTAAAAGAATGTGAGAAAGAACATATAGAAGACAATGGGCATGGAGCAAAAGTGGTGGATTCTTCCGTCTTCCACCCTAGAGGGTGGGTGGCTAGACCCTTGCAGAAGTAGTCAGAATCATAGTCACAAGTAAGGGTGAGAAAGCGGAATTTGGAGCATATGACTGTGAGTCTTGGTTCTTTGAGAAAACTTTTCCAACGTGGACGAGTCATGAGTTTGCATACTCAGACTTCTCTTATTTCAGTGATTTCAGAGGAATTCTATTGGACATGTCATTTGGCCATTTAATCGACTCAGCCACCCAGGTGCCCCAACTTTCTTATCACCAACTTCTCCCATTCAGTAGGTTGTCATTTAATTTTATTGATTGTTTCCTTCACTGTGCAGAAGGCTTTTATTTTGATGTAGTCCCAATAGTTTATTTTTGTTTTTGTTGCCTGTGCCTCAGGAGACATACCTAGAAAAAGGTTGCTAGGACCAGTGTTATAGAGAAATTAATTGGCTGTGCTCTCTTCCAGGATTTTTATGGTTTCAAGTCTCATATTTAGGTTTTTAATCCATTTTGAGTTTATTTTTGTGTATGGTGTAAGAAAATGGTCCTGTTTCATTGTTTTGCATGTAGCTGTCCAGTTTTCCCAAGATCATTTGTTGAAGAGACTGTCTTTTTCCCATTGCATATTCTTGCCTCCTTTGTTGAAGATTAATTGACCATATAATCATAAATTTATTTCTGGGCTCTCTATTCTGTTCCATTGATCTATGTGTCTATTTTTGTGCCAGGGTCATACTGTTTTGATTATTACAGCTTTGTAGTATATCTTGACATCTGGGATTGTGATGCCTCCAGTTTTATTTTATTTTATTTTTCAGAATTGCTTTGGCTATTCAGGGTCTTTTGTGGTTCAATACAAATTTTAGGGTTGTTTGTTTTAGTTCTGTGAAAAAATGCTGTTAGTATTTTAATAAGGATCACATTAAATCTGCACACACTGACACTTTAAAGAGCCTCAAGAAATTGAAAACCCAATGAGAGGAAGCCAAGAAGAGTGGAGCAGAAAAAGCTCTAGCCTTGGGATTAGAGGAACCAACATCCCTTTCCAACCTTACGAATATCAGGTTGTGAAATTTCAGGTGAATTGTTTGAGTCTTAGTTTATACTTTTTCTGTGTGTAATGGGATTAATAATATCTATTTTTGCTTACTTCAATAGCTTTAGTGTGAATCCCATAAGAATATAGGCATAAAAATTGCAGAATGCTTTGCAAATTAAGTGACATCAAATGTCACCCTCCAGCCCTTCTCTGGAAGATTGGGGACATCCTTGGATTTTTCACTTAGCTTCTATCCAACTCTCTTCCCCATCTACTTGCATTTTCTGTCTACCATGCCAGGGAGGTTAGCACAGGATCCCAAAAGTTGTCCCGCTTAGTCGTTGCAATCTCCATGAAGTTCAAATTAAAGGAGCCACATCTTTAAGTGGTCAAGGGAACCAGAGAGACCAAGGTGTATTGATTCTACCTTTTTAGGAAATCTCAACCCACTAGATTCTCCGTGTTCTAACACATAGCAGGAATTTGCTAGTGAGTTTTTCAGAGTGGGTAGGAGAGACTATTAGTAAATTTAGAAATGCCAAGCATAGGGGTGCCTGGGTGGCTCAGTCAGCTAAGTGTCTGCTTTTGGCTCAGGTCATGATCTTGGGGCCCTGGGATCAAGCCCCACATCGGGCTCCCTGCTCAGTGGGGAGTCTGCTTCTCCCTCTCCCTCCTGCTCCCCCTGCTTGTGCTCTCTCTCTCTCTCTCTGTCAAATGAATAAATAAAATCTTTAAAAAACAAGTAAATAAATAAAATCTTAAAAAAAAAGAAATGCCAAGCATAGTCAATTTTTATATACAGAAGGTAATTGTTTGGATTTAATGAGAGACTGCAAAGACAGAACACTCCCAGAGCTGTGTTGATGTTACATAGTTTTCTTTGTACTAACAACAACCAGTATCCATGTGTCCTTATAGTTTACTGTTCAGCTGTAAGTAAGAAAAGCAAAGTTTCAAGTTCTCCATTTCTTTTTTGAGACCTAACTTATTGTAAAATGGAGAAAACAATCTCTTCCTCATTTATTTTGGAGAGTTTTTGAAGGATAGAATCAGAATAATAATTCTGAATGTGCTTTGAAAATAAAGGGGGCTTATAGAGATGAAGATCTTACAATGATAATTATAGATATGCATTACTCTAACCTGATACAGTAATGAAATATAATTTGGAAGGGCATATCTCTGTCAAAAACTATACACCAGAATCTAAAGCCAAAAAGAAATGCTTTTAAGTTATTCAAGGTTTTAGATGATATATTCTTTTGCGGTGCTTTCTCGGTGGGCCTACCAAGTGCTGACTCTCCTGAGCAGAAGGGTTTGCAGAGTGGGCACAGATAAGATTCAGAAACATAAACTCAAAAGCTGAAAAACAGTTAGGTTTGGATCTTAAGTCTCTCCCCAGACAGTTGGATACTTTCTGAAACCCAGGGTGTACTTGTTAAAATAGATGGAGAGAGCATTTCAATGTCTTCCATATGGACAATTTCTAAAACTTAATAGAAAACTAGGAGGGCATCAACAAGAGTCAGAACTCACAGGTTTGCAGGCAAAGGAGCCAGATCCACAGGTAGCGCTGAGCCATGTCCTTCTAGGCTGTAATCTTGTGTGAACAAGAAGGCGTTCCTCCAACAAAAAGCCAGTTGCAAGTAAGGCTCCCTGCTCAGTTTATAGCCACCACTAAGAAAGGAAGTATGAGTGAGCGGATTGGAGAAACATTGGTCTATGTATTATGATGATAATTTTTTCCTATTATATAATACAAAATGCCTAGCATTAATTAATTATTTATTCAGCAAATATTTATTGAATGCTTACTGCATGCCAGGCATTCTTCTGCAAACTGGCACTATACAAAGCAACAAAGCAACTGATCCCTCTCCTTTCACGGAGCTCATGTTCTTGTTGGGGAGATCAACAATTAAATAGGCAATTCCCATATAGTATGATAAGTGTTGCAAGAGAGGAAATACAGGGAACTGGGAGAGCAGCAGGGGACTCTAACCCAGGCAAGGAGAGTGTGAGAAAGGCTTTCTAAAGGAACTGACAGGCCAGCTGAGGCAGACTTGAAGAGCAAGTTAGCATTATTAGGTGAAATGTGGTAGGGGGATAGGGAATAGGAAGAATGTGTTGACACAATAAGAACCTAATAAATGGTAGCAACGCACATTATAGAATTACAGTTATATAATTATATTACATACAATTCTACAATATATAATTGTATTATATAATTATGTTGATTATATAAATTATTATGTGTATTGTATACTATATTACATAATGAGTATATTATGATTAAACTACATGTAATACAGACTGTTCTCTAGTAGAGGCCTCCACTCCCTGTTAGAAGAATAATAGGGGCCTTGTATATGTGTGAGGTGTCAGGGAGAGGTGATGGGAATAAATATTTGGGTCCAGGAGCCAAGCAGTTTAAATTTGAATCCAGCTGTTTCAGGGAGTGTTGGGGAAGCTGAGGACATGGCCTCTGAGCCCTAAGGGCAGTAAGATTGTGTAAAGGTTTTCCCACTGAGAAGTGTCCTTGGCCAACTCCTGGACTTCCAAAATCATTCGCTGAACTATCCTGCTCATCATTCTCCTTATATACTTGCTCAAAATTGAGTAATTGAATACCTTTATCTACATAAAGGTAGTATGTGGTGAACCAGGCAGCTGTTTGGGACCAAAGAAACATTGAAAATAAAAATGAAGTTTCCCAAATTAATTTATTCATTTCATAAGGTTGAACCATATTATTTCCTGAAATATGTAATTGTTACAGGTGCAAAACCACACCTCTATCATCTATTTATTGCACAGAGAAGCAAGAAAGAAAGAATGAATATGAAGTTGCCAAAAGCTGCTGAAAACCCAACTTTGTGTTCCTTTCTTCCTTTTTCCTTCTCTCTAGGAATGTTCAATCCTCTCTGGCCATTTGCAGCTGTTGCTTCGTCTCATGTCTATGTCTTTAGAAATTCTAGATTGGTATCTTACTCAAGGACGTATCTCCTGTTGAACCTGGGCCAGTGTCTTTTCTCTGTCTTTCAGCCTTAGATCACCAGATAACTAGGATATTTTTATCAAGAACATACTAACTTTTTTTTCATCCTTGAAAATAATCTTTATTCAAATTTTTTTATTGTTAATCACCATACATTACATCATTGGTTTTTGATGTAGTGTTCCATGATTCATTGTTTGTGCATAACACCCAGTGCTCCACGCAGAACGTGCCCTCTTTAATGCCCATCACCAGGCTAACCCATCCCCCCACTCCCCTCCCCTCTAGAACCCTCAGTTTGTTTCTCAGAGTCCATCGTCTCTCATGGTTCGTCTCCCCTCCGATTGACTCCCCTTCATTCTTCCCCTCCTGCTATCTTCTTCTTTTTTTTTCTTAACATATGTTGTGTTATTTGTTTCAGAGGTACAGATCTGTGATTCAACAGTCTTGCACAATTCACAGCACTCACCATAGCACATACCCTCCCCAATGTCTATCACCCAGCCACCCCATCCCTCCCACCCCCCACCACTCCAGCAACCCTCAGTTTGTTTCCTGAGATTAAGAATTCCTCATATCAGTGAGGTCATATGATACATGTCTTGCTCTGATTGACTTATTTCACTCAGCATAATACCCTCCAGTTCCAGCCATGTCGTTGCAAATGGCAAGATCTCCTTCCATTTGATGGCTGCATAATATTCCATTGTGTATATATACCACATCTTCCTTATCCATTCATCTGTCAATGGACATCTTGGCTCTTTCCACAGTTTGGCTATTGTGGACATTGCTGCTATAAACATTGGGGTGCACGTACCCCTTCGGATCCCTACATTTGTATCTTTGTGGTAAATACCCAGTAGTGCAATTGCTGGATCGTATGATAGCTCTATTTTCAACTGTTTGAGGAACGTCCATACTGTATCCAGAGTGGCTGTACCAGCTTGCATTCCTACCAACAGCATAGGAGGGTTCCCCTTTCTCCTCATCTTGCCAACATCTGTCATTTCTTGACTTGTTAATTTTAGCCATTCTGACTGGTGTGAAGTGGTATCTCATTGAGGTTTTGATTTGGATTTCCCTGATGCCGAGCGATGTTGAGCAATTTTTCATGTGTCTGTTGGCCATTTGGATGTCTTCTTTGGAAAAATGTCTGTTCATGTCTTCTGCCCATTTCTTGATTGGATTATTTGTTCTTTGGGTGTTGAGTTTGATAAGTTCTTTATAGATTTAGGATACTGGCTCTTTATCTGATATGTCATTTGCAAATATTTTCTCCCATTCTGTCGGTTGTCTTTTGGTTTTGTTGACTGTGTCTTTTGCTGTGCAGAAGCTTTTTATCTTGATGAAATCCCAATAGTTCCTTTTTGCCCTTGTTTCCCTTGCCTTTGGCGATGTTTCTAGGAAGAAGTTGCTGCAGCTGAGGTCGAAGAGGTTGCTGCCTGTGTTCTCCTTTAGGATTTTGATGGAGTCCTGTCTCACGTTTAGGTCTTTCAACCATTTGGAGTCTGTTTTTGTGTGTGGTGTAAGGAAATGGTCCAGTTTCATTCTTCTGCATGTGACTGTCCAATTTTCCCAACACCATTTGTTGAAGAGACTTTTTTCCATTGGACATTCTTTCCTGCTTTGTCAAAGATGAGTTGACCATAGAGTTGAGGGTCCATTTCTGGGCTCTCTATTCTGTTCCATTGATCTGTGTGTCTGTTTTTGTGCCAGTACCATACTGTCTTGATGATGACAGCTTTGTAATAGAGCTGGAAGTCCGGAATTGTGATGCCGCCAGCTTTGCTTTGCTTTTTCAAGATTCCTCTGGCTATTCGGGGTCTTTTTTGGTTCCATACAAATTTTAGGATTATTTGTTCCATTTCTTTGAAAAAAGTGGATGGTATTTTGATGGGGATTGCATTGAATGTGTAGATTGCTCTAGTTAGCATTGACATCTTCACAATGTTTGTTCTTCCAATCCATGAGCATGGAACGTTTTTCCATTTCTGTGTGTCTTCCTCAATTTCTTTCATGAGTATTTTATAGTTTTCTGAGTACAGATCCTTTGCCTCTTTGGTTCGATTTATTCCTAGGTATCTTATGGTTTTGGGTGCAATTGTAAATGGGATCGACTCCTTAATTTGTCTCTCTTCTGTCTTGTTGTTGGTGTATAAGAATGCCACTGATTTCTGTGCATTGATTTTATATCCTGACAGTTTCCTGAATTCCTGTATGAGTTCTAGCAGTTTTGGGGTGGAGTCTTTTGGGTTTTCCACATAAAGTATCATATCATCTGCAAAGAGTGAGAGTTTGACTTCCTCTTTTCCGATTTGGATGCCTTTGATTTCTTTTTGTTGTCTGATTGCTGTGGCTAGGACTTCTAATACTATGTTGAATAGCGGTGGTGAGAGTGGACATCCCTGCCGCGTTCCTGACCTTAGGGGGAAAGCTCTCAGCTTTTCCCCATTGAGAATGATATTCGCTGTAGGTTTTTCATTGATGGCTTTTATGATATTGAGGTATGTACCTTCTATCCCTATACTCTGAAGAGTTTTGATCAAGAAAGGTTGTTGTACTTTGTCAAATGTTTTTTCTGCATCTATTGAGAGGATCATATGATTCTTGTTCTTTCTTTTGTTAATGTATTGTATCACGTTGATTGATTTGCGGATGTTGAACCAACCTTGCGGCCCAGGGATAAATCCCACTTGATCATGGTGAATAATCCTTTTAATGTACTGTTGGATCCTATTGGCTAGTATTTTGGTGAGAATTTTTGCATCCATGGTCATCAAGGATATTGGTCTGTAATTTTCCTTTTTGATGGGGTCTTTGTCTGGTTTGGGGATCAAGGTAATGGTGGCCTCATAAAATGAGTTTGGAAGTTCTCCTTCCATTTCCATTTTTTGGAACAGTTTCAGGAGAATAGGTATTAATTCTTCTTTAAATGTTTGGTAGAATTCCCCTGGGAAGCCATCTGGCCCTGGGCTTTTGTTTGTTGGGACATTTTTGATGACTGCGTCAATTTCCTTAGTGGTTATAGGTCTGTTCAGGTTTTCTATTTCTTCCCGGTTCAGTTTTGGTAGTTGATACATCTCTAGGAATGCATCCATTTCTTCCAGGTTATCCAATTTGCTGACATAGAGTTGCTAATAGTATGTTCTTGTAATTGTTTGTATTTCTTTGGTGTTGGTTGTGATGTCTCCTCTTTCATTCATGATTTTGTTGATTTGGGTCATTTCTCTTTTCTTTTTGATAAGTCTGGCCAGGGGTTTATCAATCTTGTTAATTCTTTCCGAGAACCAGCTCCTAGTTTCGTTGATCTGTTCTACTGTTCCTCTGGTTTCTATTTCATTGATTTCTGCTCTGATCTTTATTATTTCTCTTCTCCTGCTGGGTTTAGGCTTTATTTGCTGTTTTTTTCTCTAGCTCGTTTAGGTGTAGAATTAGGTTGTGTATTTGAGACCTTTCTTGTTTCTTGAGAAAGGCTTGTATTGCTACATACTTTCCTCTTAGGACTGCCTTTGCTGTATCCCAAAGATTTTAAACAGTTGTGTGTTCATTTTCATTGCTTTCCATGAATTTTTTAAATTCTTCTTTAATTTCCTGGTTGACCCATTCATTCTTTAGTAGGATGCTCTTTAACCTCCATGTATTTGAGATCTTTCTGACTTTCCTCTTGTGATTGAGTTCTAGTTTC